TCCACGTCGTCAGTGTAGGAAGAGTCACAGTGACCGGTCAGTACAACTGGCACTGTCCATCCAAGCACCAGCCCCATATAACTATATGTTCTGTTATATAACTGCCTGTAGGATTTACTGTAGTGTAGCTCCTATTGTTTGGTGGTGCACCTTTGTTCATTTTGCTATATGTACATTGTGTGCTATAGTGAAAACCACCATTCCTCTCGATTCTCCCTTGCACAATTCTCTCGACACTCAACTCTCTCGACACTCACTAGCCATGGCTCCTAAGTCACGCTAGGATTCTAACATGGTATTAAGAGCAATCATATTCTAGGACCTAACATTCAATGGGCCCACCACCTAATGCCCTGCTAGCCTAGGCCCCGGCCCGTCGCCTCTTGGCCCCGTCGCCCCTAGCTCGGCCCCTCGGCCCCGCAAGCCCCGTCGATTCTGTCGCCCGCGCCCGGCCCGTACCTAGCCCGCGATCGGCCCGTACCTAGCCCGCACCCGGCCCCGTCTCGCGCCCGCGCCCGGCCAGTACCTAGCCCGCGATCGGCCCGTTCCTAGCCCCGCGCCCGGCCCGTACCTAGCCCGCGACAGGCCCGTACCTAACCCGCGCCCAACCACGTCTTACGCCTGCGCCCGGCCCATACCTAGCCCCGCGAACGGCCCAGTCCCTCGCCAGCGCCCGGCCCCGTACCTCGCCCGCGACCGGCCCGTTCCTAGCCCCGCGCCCGGCCCGTACCTAGCCCGCGCCCGGCCCCGTCTGTCGCCAGCGCCTGGCCCCGTACCTAGCCCGCGGCCGGCCCGGATCACGCCCGCGCCCGGCCCCGTACTTAGCCCGCGCCCCGGCCCCGTACCTAGCCCCGCGCCCGGCCCCGTACCTAGCCCGCGCCCGGCCCAGTACCTAGCCCGCGCCCGGCCCCGTTCCGCGCCCAGCGCCCGGCCCCGTACCTGCCCAGCGCGCGGCCCCGTACCTGCCCAGCGCCCGGCCCCGTACCTGCCCAGCGCCCGGCCCCGTACCTGCCCAGCGCCCGGCCCCGAACCTGCCCAGCGCCCGGCCCCGTACCTGCCCAACGCCCGGCCCTGTACCTGCCAGCGCCTGGCCCCGTACCTGCCCAGCGCCCGGCCCCGTACCTGCCCAGCACCCGGCCCCGTACCTGCCCAGCGCCCGGCCCCGTTCCTGCCCAGTGCCCGGCCCTGTACCTGCCCAGCGCTCGGCCCCGTACCTGCCCAGCGCCCGGCCCCGTACCTGCCCAACGCCCGGCTCCGTACCTGCCCAGCACCCGGCCCTGTCCCTAGCCCAGCACCCGGCCCCGTACCTGCCCAGCGCCCGGCCCCATCCCTAGCCATGGCCCCGTCGCCCCTAGCCATGGCCCCTCGCGACCTGCCGCCCCTAACCGCGGCCCCAGTGCCCTGTTGCAACATGGTGGGTGAGGGGGTGGCAAGAGGGAGTTCCTCCTGCCCGCGTGCCCTACAGTCGCACGCGCAGCTCCGCCCCTGCCCCCCTCCCCCCCCTCCCTCCCCTCCATGGGGATGGCGGGGAGAGGGTGTGAGGGGGTGGCGGATGTGCCTCAGCAGCAGCAGCTGCCGCCACGCTTCCTCCTCTCTCTCTCTCCCTGCCGCACCTTGTGTTGGGAGAGGGGGGGGAGCTTGGAGGTTCAGGGGGAGGCAGGAGGGGATCTGCAGCACCAGGCCCCCCACCCTTCTCCTACCTCCCCCTGCTGCGGGTGCAGCAGAAGGGGGGAGGGGATCTGCAGCACCGACCCCCCCCCCCCCCCCCCCCTTCATCCTTCTCCTACCTCCCCCTGCTGCGGGTGCAGCAATGGGGGGGAAGCAATCTGCCATCCCCCTGCTGCGGATGCGGCAGTGGGGGGAGGAGACCTGCAGCACCAGCCCCCCCCCCCCCCCCCCCCTTCTCCTCCATCTCTCTGCTGCGGGTGCAGCAGTGGGGGGGAGGGTATGGGGGTGGCGGGTGTGGCCAACCTGCTGTCGCCCGAGCGGCTCCTGCACCGCCCCTTCTCCTACCTCCCCCCTGCTGCGGGTGCAGCAGTGGGGGGGGAGGGGATCTGCAGCACCAGCCCCCCCCCCATTTCTCCTCCATCCTTGGGGGGGGAGGTGGCGTGGAAGGGGTGGCCGCTGTGAACCACTACAGCCCCACCCTCTGCCCTGCCTCTCCTCTCCCGCGGCTGCTGCTGTGGGGGGGAGGTGGCGGGGATGGGGGGTGGGGGAGAGGGGGCAGGCCGCCGTGTGAAGATCAGTGCAGGGACTATTGTGGGTGGGGCAGGGGCTGGAAGAAGGAAGGGGGGTGAGATACAAGGGGGCAGCTGATAAGGGGGGTGAGATTAAGGGGGTGGTTGAATTGAGGGTGAGGACTTGGGGGTTGTTAAGAGGGCCGGCCGGCAGTGAGCTGTCACGCTCATGCACGCTCCCCCACCTCCTCTCCTCATCCCTCACTCACCTCCCCCTTTGTAAAGTGGGTTAGTAAGAGGGATGGCCGGCAGTGAGCTGTCATGCTCATGCACGCTCCCCCACCTCCTCTCCTCATCTCTCTCACTCACCTCCTCCTTCGTTCTTATCTCCTCTCCCCTCCTCTCTCTCTCTCTCTCTCTCTCTCTCTCTCTCTCTCTCTCTCTCTCTCTCTCTCTCTCTCTCTCTCTCTCTCTCTCTCTCTCTCTCTCTCTCTCTCTCGCATCCTCCTCCTCACTTACCTCTCTGCCGTCTTCCACTGCACCAGGTGTACCCCTTCAAGGGGTGTTCTACACAGGTTTTCTCCTGCAGGCAGTTATGGGGGTGTGTAAGAAAATATAATTATATGTTCTGTTATATAACTGCCTGTAGGATTTACTGTAGTGTAGCTCCTATTGTTTGGTGGTGTACCTTTGTTCATTTTGCTATATGTACCTTGTGTGCTATAGTGAAAACCATCATTCCTCTCGATTCTCCCTTGCACAATTCTCTCGACACTCAACTCTCTCGACACTCACTAGCCATGGCTCCTAAGTCACGCTAGGATTCTAACAGCAGTCACCAGGTACTTCGCTTCCCTCAAAGCAGCCGTCCAGTGAACAGGACGGTGTCTCTCAGTCGCAACCAATTGAGACAGGACGCTGAGAGAAAAATCAAGATCCGGAAGAGTACATGTCATCAGGTATATGAGACAGCCCACAAGCTATGCGTAGGGACCAATACGCTCAAAGGGCTCGTCAGGAAAAGGACGTGTGAGTCAGTGGTCAACGGCAAGAGGAGTGGGCTGTGTGGTGGAGAGCTGAAGCTCGATCCGCTGAAGGACCTGCTGCATCATGTGTGACTGAATCAATGTGATGGTGCGAGCGGCTTTGTCCCTAGTGATCTGCAAGCCAAGGTAGCGGCGCAGTTCACCCAGGTCAGTGCACGTGTCTCTCTTCTGCAGTTCGGACTTCACCTCAGCTAGAGCGACCCTGTATGCTGTAGCGAAGACCAAGTCGTCGACATAGACAAGGACGAAGAACGGCGTAGAACCAGTGCGAACAAACAACGACGGGTCGGCGGACCACGGAGACCGAGGTCAGCAAGAGTGGTGCGTAGCATGTCGTGCCACTCACATGGCACCTGGCGGAGACCGTAGACTGGCCGCCTTAGGCTCCACTGGGTCCCAGTCAGGAAAGTGCCAGTGAAGCCAGGAGGACGGCGCTGTCGAAAACTCACCCACCTCCTCCTGTCTCTGGCACTTCTCTCACTTGTTCCACACTACTGTCCTTCCCCCCTCTGTCCCTCTGTAAACTTACCTTTTCATCCCTCTCCCTCTCCTCTCATGATGAGCTCTAAGCTCTTTCACATATTTTCAAAGCCTAAGCTCCTGATCTAACCATGGCTTGTCATATCTCCTTAACATCACTACTTGCAATCATTCTCAGCAAGAAAATCATGTTTTAAAGGAAACATAAAAGCAATGAAGATTGCACCCCCAGAATCCACATACACTACCAGCAAACCCTCCTCCTAACGCCAGTCCCATCATCCTCTAGCCTATTCTCTAGCAGCGAAGACTGCCTTCAAGCTAACTTGCATCTATGCTGCTTCTTGCCCTCCCTCCCAACCACTTGCTACTTTTCCTCCAGCTGGTACTGTGCAAATCCAGTTGGCTCCTCGGGGTGACCTTGCAAACATAGGGAAACAAACGTCCATGCACACAAACACCATCTTGGTGCTGTATTACAACCCCTCTTCCCACTGCCGCTGCCGAGTGCATATGATGATCTTCTCCACCACCTCCATGCTTATGTAAGTGCCGCCTCACTCAGATCACTTCGCTCTATCAGGCGCCAGTCCACCATCAGCTCTTTCCCACCCTTGAACCGTCGCGTGACCCTTCGGATTCCATCCTCTCCAGTCGATTGACTCATTATGTACAATTTGTACAATACGTACACCCCCTTACAGCTCCTCCGCTCTTCCTCACATTCATACAAATGTGACAGCTATCGCAAACTCACCCACCTCCTCCTGTCTTTGACACTTGTCTCTGTTGTTCCATGCTACGGTCCTTCCCCCTTCTATCCCTCCGTGAACTTACCTTTTCATCCCTTGCCCTCTCCTCTCTCCCCTGCTGACTGTGGCTCCTCACTCCGTCTCCAATCCCTCTCACTATCTTGTGAGAAGTGTAAACAACGGAATGATGTTTGACTAACAGAATGGGAATACAAGTAGGAAACCCTAGAAAGCTGTACCCCCTAAGGCTAGCCCCACTAGATCCTAACAATATAGAAACATACAGTTTTGACACACCCCCATAGGCGAAGTGGGGGATAGCAAGTACAACAAACAGTCACAACACCAATCAAGAGAAGCAACAAAGCAAAGCTCAGGGTGGATCTCAAGATCACCACACAGTCCGAGCACAAGCAAGCGGCCACAAGGCCAGTTCACTTGCAGGGTTATAATAGCACAAGCAGTACACTGATGACAACCTATCGTATCACCCCGGATATAAGCGCAGGCCTATGTTAAGTGCATGCGCTTATATCTAGAGCAATGCGCTTATGGCCAATCCTCAATTATAAGCGCACCCCTTGTAAAACCTTGATTTATAATATGTAAAAAATAACGAACGAGAATGAATGCATTGAGCAGAAGTTGGGTACAAGTACTAACCCTAATTGGGTTGTACCCCTTATGGGCTACCCCACTATAGCCTACACAAATGTAAGCACTATAACATTCTGACACATCCCCATAGGCAAAGTGGGGGAGAACAAGTGGTCACAAGACCAGTCAAGAAAAGCAAAGCAAGCTCAGGGTGGATCACAAAGTCACCACACAGTCTGAGCACAAGCAAAGGGCCACAGGGCCAGTTCACATGCAGAGTTATATAAAGAGAACAAACAATACAGTGATCATACCCTAGCAAGTGCAAGCATGCAGGTATATACATAGATCACAGTACAAGCAAAGTCACGCAGTGAGCAAGTGAGGCAAAGTAGGCACAAGGCCTAACACAGTAGAGAAGCGCTGATGATCACCAGGTGAAAGTGCCTTGGTGAATATATCAGCAGTGTTGGCCCTAGTGGCCACGTACGCAAGACGAAGCTGGCCACGCTGCTGCAACTCTCGAGCAAGGAAGTATCGCAGAGCGATGTGCTTCGTTCTGTGCTCCAGTCTGTGCTCCTGACACAAGGCAATCATGGCCTTGTTGTCTACGTACAGATTTGGAGGCGAACGAGGCTGCTCTCCCAAGTCAGTCACCAGGTAGGTGAGCCAGCATAGCTCCTGTGCAGCCATGGCCCCAGCGTAGATCTCAGCCTCACAACTGGAGCTGAGAACCGAAGACGAGCGGGTAGACCGCCAAGAAACAGAGCCAGAGCCAAGGCTGAAGGTGTAACCCTGTGACAACCGCTGCGTAGCTGAGTCATCAACCCAAGAAGCGTCTGCGTGACTGGTGAGGACAACTGGACCCCGTCCTCCAAGCACGAGCCCCATGCCCGACGTACTGCACAAGAAACGCAGTACCCTCTTTGCAGCATCCCTGTGCACCTTTCGGTGCCTACCGGGAGCCACGTAGCGAGCTAGGAGGCTAAGAGGGTACGCGAGGTCAGGTCGTGTGCACGTCATCAGGTTCATGAGGCAACCCACAAGCTCTGCATACGGACCACTCGGCTCTACAGACTCGTCCGAAGGTGGAGCTGAGAGCGAGTGGCTGGTAGACAGAGGAGTGGGCTATGGCAAGGAGAGCTGGAAGCTGAAGCGCTGAAGGACCTGGTGCACGTGTGACTAAGTCAGTGTGATGGTGCGCCGTGCTCTGTCCCAGGTGATCTGCAAGCCAAGATAGCTGCGCAGTTCACCCAGGTCAGTGCAGGTGTGTCTCTTCTGCAGGTCCGTCTTCACAAGGGTCAGTGCCTCAGTGTCAGCAGTGGCAAAGACGAGGTCGTTGACATACACTAGGACGTAGAACGGCGGCAGCGACGTGTCGGTGCGTAGAAACAGCGACGGGTCAGCAGTAGAAGGAGGAAACCCCAGAGCCGCAATTGTAGTCCTCAGTGTGTCGTGCCACTCGCGAGGCGCCTGGCAGAGACCGTAGACTGGCCGCCGAAGGCTCCACAGGGTACCTGCAGGAAACGACCTAGTAAAGCCAGGTGGGCGGCGCAGCAAGATCTCCTCGTGCAGGCTGCCCTGCAAGAAAGCTGTGCTGAAGTCAAGAGAGTGCAGCTCGTAGTCACGCTGAGCAGCGACGTGCAGCAACACCCGAAGAGTGGTCATCTTCGGGGTGGGGGAGAAGGTCTGGAAGTAGTCAACCCTCCGTCGCTGACTGAAGCCTCAAGCAACGTAACGCGCCTTGAAGGTAGGCTGAGATCCCGGCGGCCGCTTCACCCTGAAAATCCACATGCCATCGACTATGTTCGCCCGAGACGTGGGAACTGCGTCGACGTAGGTGCATGTGGACTTCCAGAATGCCATCTCGGCATCCATGGCTGCCTGCCACTGAGAGGAGTAAGGACCCGTAATCGCCTCTGCGTAAGAGCGCGGGGTCGGGATGTCTGGTGCATCAGGGTCTCCCTCAGGGCCAAGCAGCATGGAAGCAAAACGAGGTATAGCAGCTGCAAGACACTCAAAGTCCTCCTGCCTGTCCTCAAGGACGTCCGTGCCAAGAGCACACTCACCCTCGACGGACGGAGGACTGGCAGACTCAGACTCAGCAACAAGAGCAGTGGCGTAGTCTAGACGACAGGCAGCAGCAAAGTAAAGCAGCTCAGCAACGAGGGCAGACGCAGCAGTGGACTCAAAAGAAGGGTCAGTGACAACAGTGGCGAGGAGACGAGAAACAGTGGGACCAGCAGAACGCACAAGGCCAGACTCAGGGTCAGGGACGACAGGAAGAGAGGACTCGGGAGGAGGCGGCAGAGGAACACGCAGTGGAACAGAGGAAGGACGAAGTGCCATAGGGTGCGTGCCGGGGAGAGGAGGAGGACGCGAATGTGGAACGCGACGAGCAGTGCAAACAGGCGAGACACAACGAGACGCAGGCTCACGACGCTCTGT